TCCTCGTACCTTATAAATATAGACAACAGTACAAGAGCAGGGACCCTCAATTGGAGCCTTTTGGGGGAATGGCCTCACTATGCCTGGCCCTAAGCATAACTCTGTGGAATAGTAAGAACTTGAGGAAATCATGCGCACTTTGATGCTTTCCTGCCTAAAATCAATAAACATTATTTTTTCAATTTTATTGAGAAATAATTCATGTACAATAACTATACTCATTTTAAAGTATATTAAATGAGTTCTGACAGATGTACATGCTCCTGAAATCACAATCAACACAGAATATTTCTATCACCTCTAAGAGTCCCCTATAACCCTGTGAAGTTCATCCTTTCCCTTCACTCCTGGCCCCAGGCAACCACTGATGTGCTCTCAGTCATTATAAATTAGTATTTTCTAGAATTTCACACACTATGGACTGGTGTCTTGCTTTTTTCAGAATAATTTTGTGACTCATTCATATGTGTATCAGTAGTTGTATCTTTTTTAAAAAATAAATTTGTTTATTTTTGACTGCATTGGGTCTTTATTGCTGTGCACGGGCTTTCTCTAGTTGTGGCGAGTGGGGACTACTCTTCATTGTGGTGCGTGGGCTTCTCATTGCAGTGGCTTTTGTTGCAGAGCACAGGCTCTAGGTGCGCAGGCTCAGTAGTTGTGGTGCACAGGCTGAGTTGCTCTGCAGCATGTGGGATCTTCCCGGGCCAGGGATCGAACCCGTGTCCCCTGCATTGGCAGGCGGATTCTTAACCACTGGGCCACCAGGAAAGTCCCAGTTGTCTCCTTTTTATTGAAGAGTAATATTCCATTTTATGAATGTATTTCATAATTTGTTTATCCATTCACCTGTTGATGGACATTGTTTCCAGTTGTTCACTATTGTAAATAAAGCTGCAGTAAACATTTGAATACAAGTTTTTAGGTGGACACATTTCTCTTGTGTAAATACCTAGGGCTAAAATGGTTGAGTTATATGACAGGTTATATGACAGTTGACACTCTTCCAAAGTGGCTGTACCATTTTGTATTTTGACCATCATTGTACAAGGTCCAATTGTAGCACATCCTCAATAACACTTTGTACTGATGGACTCTCTAATATTTAATATTAGCTATCTTAGTGGATGTGTACTATATTTCACTGTGGTTTTAATTTGCATTTATTTACTAATGATGTTGAACATCATTTCATGTGCATATTGACCATTCATATGTCTTCTTTTGTGAAAAGTTCATTCAAATCTTTTGTCTAATTGTCTATTGGGTAGTTTGTCTTCTGTGTATATATTACGTACACGGTGAGGTAAGAATCAATGATCATTTGTTTCCATAGATACCCAATTGTTCCAGACTTTCCTTTCCCCATTGAACTGTTCTGCTTTTGATGAAAAGCATCGAACCACACAGGTAAGGATCTATTTCTGCTCACTGTACTCCATTCTTTTGACCTTTCTGTTCATCCTTTCACCAGTTCCACACTATCTTGATTACTGTAGCTTGATGTTAAGTCCTCAAATCAGGTAGTATAAAGGTAGTATAAGTCTAACATCTTTGTTCTTATTAAAATTTCTTTAGCTAGTCTAGGTCATTTGCATTCTACTATAAATTTTAGAATCAGCTTGTCGATTTCTATAAAAAGCTTACTGGTATTTCTGTTGGAATTGCATTAAATCTATACATCAATTTAAGGAGAAGTGACATCTTAATAATATTGAGTTTTCCTATTCATGAACATGCTATATCTCTCCATTTGTTTAGGCCTTTAAAAATATCTCTCAGTAATTTTTTATAGTTTTCAGTGATGAGATCTTACACTTCTTTTATTAAATTTATTCCTAAACATTTTGTGTCTTAGTGTTATTATAAATTGTTTAAAGTTTAATTTTCCAATTATTTGCTGTTGATAAATAAAATCATAAGTGATTTTTGCTATCTTATATCTTGAGATGTTGCTAAATTCACTTATTAGGTCTAGCAGTTATCTGTAGATTCCTTAGGGATTTCTACATAGACAATCATGTCATCTACAAATAGACAGTTTTACTTCTTCCTGTCTAATCCTCATGGCTTTTATTTCTTCTTCTTGTCTTAATGCAGCAGTTAGGACCTCTAGTATAATGTTGAATGAGGTAGTGAAAACAGACATGCTTGCCTTGCTCTTCAACCTAAGGGACAAAGTACACATTAATTCATCAGGAAATATGATGTTTGCTATAGATTTTTGTGTAGAAGGCTCTTATCAGATTGAGAAAGTTTCTTTCTAGTCCAATTTTTTATTATAAATGGGTGTTGGATTTTGTCAAATGCCTCTTTGCAATATTGAAATAATCACATTTGTCCTTTGTTCTGTTAGTATAATTATACTGAATGATTTTCAAATGCTAAATCAACCTTCCCTTCCATTACCCATTTCCAGAAGTCAAAAATTCTCTAGGTTGTGTGAAAAAAAAACATGACTACAGTGGTTGAACCAAACATGGGTTTATTTTTCTCACTTAACAAGCTTGAAGATAGTTCAGCACGATTTATCAGCTTTCCAATGTCATTAATGTCCCAGGCTCTTTCTTCTTCCCTGTTCTATCATTCTTAATGTATGGCATGCCTCTTCATGATCTCAAGAAGTGTTAATGCACTTCTTGGCAAAGATCTTCATCTTAGGTAGAAAAAGGAAAGGGGGAGCAAGCAGAAAGGAACTGGGGACATTTATCTCAGAAAAGTAATACTTTCCTATAAAACCTTACTAGATTTCTTCTTGCATTTCAAGAGCCAGAACTGTGCCACTTGGCTACATACAGTTACAAGAGAGTCTGGGGAAGTAAATTTTGTTTTCCCTTTTTTTTTAACTAATTTAAAATTACTTTGTAAAAATGAATCACTGTGCTTTGTTCCTTATTTTTTCATTTTATAATAAAAAATTTCAAATATGTACAAAAGTAGACAGGATAGAATAATCACAATCATGCATTCATGACGTGACTTCAATGATCAACTCATGGCCAACACCATTTCATCTTTACCTCTATCCACTTTCACATACCATATTATTTTGAAGCAAATCTCAGACATTATATTTACCTATAAATATTTCAGTAGGCATCTCTACAAGATGAGGACTTTATAAATTATCACATCTAAAGAAAACACCATATCACATCTAAAGAAAAAAAATGTAATTATTCCTTAATTTCTTCAAATATCCAATCAATACTCAAACTTCCAAGAGGTAAGTTTTTAAGCTGGACACATTTCTTCTGTCCCCTACCCCCAAATCATGATTCTATTGGTAAAAAAGGAAAAGGAGAGTATATATTGAGTAGGCAATCTACAGCACCCGCCACACCATTTGTATTCTGTATACTATAAAAGTAGCTTGTCTCAAGAACGTTTCTGGGGCAAATAATACAATATTCTTTCTATAGTTAAAAATGTTATCAAATGAGCATTTTTAGTTAAAGGTGGCATTAAAACAGTAGCATTAGACTTTTAGGAGCAGCCAAGTTTTCCTCTTTAAGAGGTCTAACTTTCCTGGCCAATGAGACATTTGTCAATTTTTTAAAGCCGTTACTCACAAATCCCAGCTAACTGAAGTTATTTGTATCTACAACATTTTATGTTCCTTAGGCACTGGCCACACGTTAAGTCATATTTGTATATTCTATAACTCCTAGTACAGAGGAGACACTGAGTAAATGAATATTTGTTAAATGCATGGACGAGATGGAAGAAAGTAACCAAAGCCTACTAAAGGATGCTACCAGTCATCCATAATGATACTACTGAAATAAGGAAAAAAAGGACTTCTAGAGTAAAAAATCCAAAAAAGGCTGATTTATACATTTTTTTCCTCCACCATGTTTAATTTCCCTTGTATCCTTGGATGAATTTTTTTAAAACATCTTCAGGATATCTCTTATATACAAAAGTTTGTTTGGGTTCCACCAGTGTTTTAAAACATCCTATTTGTTTAGAAGTAATTGAAATTAGGAAGGAAATGCTTTCAAATACTCCAGTTGTATCAATATTTTGTTGAAATGGCATTAAAGAAGGAGATAGTGTAGTAGTTAACTTGCATGTCAATATTAAACCACAAAAATATATAAATCTAATAAAGCTGCTGCTTAATATTTACTCTAAATGACTTTTTAACATGCTAAAACTCACTGTTAAAGTAGTAAAGACATGTAGCCTTTGAAAAGAACATAGGTTTCAGAATCAGATCTGGGTTCAAATCCTATAGGTTTGCTTACTGGGTAGTCGTTTATCCTTTCAAAACACCTATTTCCTTTAAAATAAGAATAACAGCACTTACCCCAAAGTGCTGTTGTGAGAATTGAGTGATACAATCAATAAAATTACCTGGAATATAGTAATCACCCAAGAAATGTTAATTGTCACTATTATGTAAGTGATTTAACTACAAAACGTTCCATTTACTAAACATAAATAAACCCCAAACGAAGTTTAATATTCTAAAATCAGATAAAAACAAACTCTTAGCTTTCAATAAAGAAAATTGCCCTCTCACCTACTTTTGAATACACCAGAATCAAAGGCCAGAAGAGTTCTTGTCTGCTTACAGTGAAGTTTGCTTAACAGTACTCATTTTCCTGAGTTATGTGACGAAAAGGTCTTTTAATGACATTCCTACTTTCTTATCTCTAAAGAAATAAATGAATGCTCCTGGTACTGCTAATTCACTCCAAGTCTTACGGCACCTGAGTTAAACACATATTTAACAACACCTGCATAAATTTCTAAAGGAAGCACATGAGTAAAAGCAATATCGAATCTTTGCTCATTTTATTATGAAAACTTCACTACTTCCTAGAAGGAATAAGTCTTTCACCTTAGTCTTTGTATTGTAGTAATTCATATACCAAAATAATGACCTAATACTGTGGATAGATTCATTCACATACACACACACACACACACACTCTGACATATATACTTCACTAACAGGACTCACTTTCCCAGAAAATATTAAGTAATCATTGTACCTTTTGTGGCAAGATTTCTAGATACTGAATTCCTAGTAAGACCTTTATGTTTTAATTTTTTTCTCTCTTCTTCACTTTGCTTTTCTTGTTGATATAATTTTTCTTCTCTCTGAACTATTTTATGTTCTTCAGCTTTTCTTTGATGTTCTTTCCAGGTTTCCAATTCTTTAGTTGCTTTTATCCGTTCATTTTCTTTCATATCTTCTATTCTTTTCCTCTCTTCTTCTTCAATCTGAAAAAATTAAAATTACCAAATCCTTTAAAACATACAAAAAGCAATATTTTAAAAATAAGAAATTCATTATAATAATTAGTTATTTTTACCTTTAAACACTTGTCATTAAATCTGCAGCAATAGTTAACAGTGAATAAAGAATTAAAATGGGAACGGTAAATGATTTAGCAGAATGCTCAATGATATGGTGTCACTGAACAAAGGTCTTAGTTCCAGATTTACCATTAACTATTGATATGTTCTTGGGCAGTCACTTTCTCTAGCCTCAGTTTACTTGCATGTAAAATGTGGACAGGCATTCAATTAGATGATATCTAAGGGCTTGGTTAATAAAAAAAAAAAAAAGGAAGAATTTATTACTCTGAAAGTTAAGTCACTTGTCCCCAAATCTTTACACACACACAAATACACATATGCAAACATTCGCCTTTCTACCAATGCCAGTCTTACCTTGTCTTAGGACTGAAGTTGTGCCGACCTTCACCTGAGGAATGAGGGAATATAAGAAGGGAATAGGAAGGAGGAACTAGGGAGTTCGTCTCTGGTGGGTGGAAATGTTTGAACTTTGAATCCTGCTGTCAACTATGTTTGCAATAGCAGTTATTTGACATTTCCACACGAAAAGCTAAATATCAGATGAATCTGAAAGCAATACATTGCTCAGTCATGTGCCAATTTTTCTCCCTTTCACAAACTTCCCTCATATGGGCAAGAAAAAAAAGTCCCTGTGAAACAGAGTAACTGGTTAGTATATATGGTCGACTCCATGTACCTAACCTTCCTATGGCAACAAAAGTTTCTCACCTCTATCCTCTAGAGAAGCAGTGTCTAAGAGAACTTTTTTGAATGGTAGTAATGTTCTGTACTATCCAATACATTAGCCACTAGTCACACATGGCTAATGAAGCACTTAAAATGGGGCTAGTGTGACTGAGGAACTGAATTGGTAATTTTATTTACGTTTCATTAATGTAAATTTAAATTAATTTATTTTTAAATAGGACATCTGACACAGCTCTAGAATGACATGCTGGGAAAAAGTTTCCTAGAGGCTGAATTATTTTAGGATATAGAATTAACATTATAGGTGTGAAAACCGTGCACTGAAGAGGTTCTCTGCAATATTTGCATGAGTTAATACCCTCTTCTGGAGACTGTTTATTTTCCTATTATACCATAAAACATTTATTTTAAAATAAACTTCACAAATTACTAACAGGAGTTTCTTATAATCCCAGAATTGCACCTAAGGCCTAAACTAAGCACAAAAGATGCTAATTACTATATGTCCTAAATTCAGAGAGCCGCATTGAGCTGCCAACAGGTTGGGCCAGAAAGAATCTGCACGCGGCAATGAACCAGCATTTAAATGCCTGATAATAGGCCATGATGAACAGTCAGTGTTAGGTAGAGGCAGCCACAACCTAAAAGAAGATGACAACTTCCCCCAGTTTAGTAACATGTTTGCCTTTTTTCCCTCCTTCCTCTGTTCCCCAACACATGGAAGGAGGAAAAAGTATGTGAAGAGTCAGAACACCTTCACCCCTCATGATCCCTGTTATGCAGAATGAAATTTGAAAAGTTTTTAAAAATGCGTAAGACTGAGTCTTACTTACCAAAAACAAGACTGTTCTTATAACCAAAAGTAACAAGAAAGTTCTTCTATTATGCCAAGATGTAGTTAAGGGAAATACGTGTGTGGGCTCGCACGCACGCATGTGTGCATATAAAGATATATGTATATGCAATTTCTAATAGGCTATATTAGAAACACAAAAATAGTCCTCAGGGATTAATGAGGAAGAAGAAGGATTAAAAAAGGCTTCAAAGAGCAGGTGACAGAAGGAACTAGAATGAACAGAAAAACATGAAGAAGGTAATACCTTATGATTATGATAAAGGCAGACTACGTACAGCAAAGAGAAACAGACAGACAAATGTTAAACAATCCCTGAAGGTCTTATTTTTTAAAAAACATAATAAGGGGAATATACCACTTAAAGGAGGAATGTGTAGTAACTCAGAAAGCTAGAAAAACAATTACCACACTGAAGGAACTGGATTTTAAGTGCTTTGTACTGCTCAAAAAAGGACGCCATATAGTATGGGATATTAGTTTAATACAGACAGCAAATATAAGTAACGGGAGAATAATGAGCAGCTCCTAAATGAAATTCCTGAAGAAAGGGAAATCTATAATTATTTTAATTTGGAATGAATCTCTGGTTTATCAGGCATTGTTCTTTTTCAGCCAATCTCATTTATTACGTGTAAAAATAATAAATAAAATACTAGAAAACTCAATCAAGGAAAATATTAAAATTATAATACATCTTGATCAATGATGTATTTCTTATCTATGATATTAGGAAATCAAGAGAAAAATAATATGATCTCACTACATGTCAAAATACCCTTGATACTAAGAAAAAAAATTTTAGATCAATAAAAGGACCTACACAATATTATGCTTCATGGTGAAGCATTAAAAATATTTCTAGTAAAGTCCTTAAGGCCAATATGCCTACTGCTTTACTATTTTCCTAGCGGGCATAACCTACACAACAGAATTTTTTAAATAAATAAATCTGTAAAATGAAAAAACTTTAAATAAGAAATACAAATATAGATTATGCAAAGATAGAACCATCATTATTTGCAAATAATATGGTAGACTATCTAAAAGAACACAAATAATAAACTGACAAACTATTAGAATGAAAAGGAGAGTTCAGCGAGGCAATCACATACAAGGTCAACTTATACAAACTCTTAAAACTAACTTTCCTACAATCTGGCAATAAACAATTAGAAAATACAATGGAAAAAGTCATTTCATTAGTAACTGCCAGAAAAGCTTTTAAAATGCTACAAGTAAGCTTCACAAAATATGAGCCAGCCCTATATGTAAGCTAAATAATTTTGCTGAGGGATATAAAATGTAAGTCTGAATAAATGGAGATAAATGCCACATTCCTGGAAGAAAATCTCAATATTTTAAAACTCAATATTTTGATATTCTGCAAATTAATTTATAAGTCAGTGTAAATCTAATCAAAATACCAGAAGAACTCTTAGGAAGCTTGATAAGTAACTGTGAAATTCATCCACAGAAGAAAATGTGCAGGTTTTATGGAGCTGTGAAGAGGTTGGCAATTCTCATCCATAAAGATCAAGTATAAATCTAGACAAATTTATCAAAAACAACCAATTCAGGGCAGTGGGAATTAACCAAAGGCAGCCTGCAAATTGATAAGTGTTTATTCTAGAAGAACTGCTAAAGTTATAGGTAAGAACAGTGGGAGGCTCTGACCTGCTTAAGGTTACTCCCAACCACCCACCTCCAGCCAGGATGACAAGACTGACATTTTTACCAACATGAAACTAGGAAAAAGAACACAGCAGCTTTGTTAGCAAAAACGGTGGACTCATTTCAGGGTGGGGCAGTGAAAATCTGTGGCTTTGGTGGAGAAAAGTGGTAAACTTGGTGGGAATGAAGAGGGAAAATTTACAGTTGAGGTCTGAGGTTGAGGTCCTAGTCAGGGTAAGTGCCTGAGTAGTCAGAAAATTAAGAGAAAGATCATGTAAATTAGAGAGCCATAGAAGGTCTGTAATAAGCTCACCATACACCCCTGGTTAAACAGCAAGCTATGCATTTCTGGGGGAGACCTAAGGAAGCCTGGCATAAAACAAAGCCAAGGGATACTTGAGAACTCGCTCTAACTGTGAATGTACTTCCAAACCCACACACAGACCAATCAGCAACGGGGTGGAAGCCTTTCAGGCTGAAGGTATTTACTACCTCTGCCCAAATCATTAGCTAACAAGTGAGTTACACAGACACAGGGAAGACCCTTAAGGAAGCCAGACCAAAAAACAAGAATTAAAAAACTCAGCAGAGACATCAGCAGTTGTATACCACAAGGGAGTCTACACTGATCCCACAGTTAAAGTCCAGGCAAGTTACTAAAAAATAAACAATTAATTAAAACAGAACTCAGAATTACTATAATCTACTAACTAAAATGTCTAGTTTTCAACCAAAAATATATCAAGAAATAATTACTAAAGACTTCTCAAATTTGATGAAAACATTACATACCTCAGAGAATTTCAAACCAAAGTAAAATAAATACAAAGAGATACACCTAGATACAACTTAGTCAAACTGCTAAGTATATACAAAAGCCAAACAAAAACAGGGAAATCTTGAAAGCAGCAAGAAAAAAGGGACTCATCATGGACAGGGAAACAATAATACAATTAAAGGCTGATTCATCATTAGAAACAACACAGGACAGAAGGCACTGAAATGACACGTTCAAAGCACTGACAGAAAGAAACTAAAACTACCAGTTCTAGATCCAGCAAAAACATTCTTCATAAATGAAGATGAAATAAGCACATTCCAAGATAAATGAAAACTGAGACAAACTATTGCCCACAGACCTGTCCAACAAGATATACCAAAGAAAATCTTCAGGCAGAAAGGAAATGGCACTAAACACTAACTCTGATCTGTAAGTGGGAATGAAGAATATGGGAAATGGTAAATATATAGGTAAGTATAAAAGACAACACAGGGACTTCCCTGGGGGTCCAGTGGTTAAGGCTTCACCTTCCAATGCAGGGCGTGTGGGTTCGATCCCTGGTCGGAGAGCTAAGATCTCACATGCCTTGGAGCCAAAAAACCAAAACATAAAACAGAAGCAATATTGTAACAAATTCAATAAAGACTTAAAAAAAAATGGTCCATATCAAAAAATCTTTAAAAAAAAAGTACAAATGGATAAACAAAATGTGGTATATACATAATAATAGAACATTATTCAGCCTTAAAAAGGAAGAAAATTCTGACACATACTAAAAAGTGGATGAACCTTGAAGACATTATGCTAAGTGAAATAAGCCAGGCACAAATGGACAAATATGGTATGATTCCACTTACATGAGATACCTAGAGGAGTCAAATTCATAGAAACAGTAAAATGCTGGTT